TGGAGACCAATAACCTCCTGATTGACATCCAGTGTGGTTTCCGAAAAAAAAAAGAAGTACCATTGACCATTTGGTGCGTTTAGAATCGTTTACTAAAAATTCCATTGTCAACAAACAACATACTGTATCAATCTTTTTCGATCTAGAGAAGTCATATGATACAACGTGGAAACATGGTATTTTAAAAGATTTGCATGAATGTGGATTGAGGGGCGGATTACCTCAGTTCATATCTCAATTTTTAAACAACAGACAATTTCAAGTACGAGTGGGATCTACCCTGTCTGATCGTTTCGATCAAGATCAGGGCGTCCCTCAAGGCAGTATACTATCAGTCACCCATTTCAGCATCAAAATTAATAGTCTCACTAAAGTATTAAACAATAGCGTTGATGGTTCACTTTTTGTGGACGATTTCAACATTTCTTGTCGTGGTAAAGATATTTAATACAACAGAAAGACAGCTACAGCTCTGTCTTAACAAAATTCAAAAATTGGCAAACGTAAACGGCTTCAAATTAACTAAATCCAAAACAAACTGTATTGACTTTTGTCTTAAATACAAACCTCACAAGGATCCAGATTTATTTTTAGATGGTACTCCTATCAAGGTAGTAGAGGAGGCCAAATTCCTGGGCCGCATATTTGACCGTCATCTCACATTCTTACCACACATTAAATATATCAAGGCAAAGTGCCTGAAGGCTCTCGACTTGTTAAAAGTCGTTTCAAATTCCGAGTGGGGAGGGGATCAGACCACCCTCCTTCACTTGTACAGATCGTTAATACGCTCCAAACTAGACTATTGTTCCATTGTCTATGGTGGAGCCTGCAAAAGCAATTTAGAACAATTGGACACTATACGCCATCAAGGCCTAAGATTCTGTCTTGGAGCTTTTAGGACCTCTCCCATGGACAGTTTGTATGTGGAGGCAGATGAACTTTCACTCGAACTGCGCCGCATTAAACTTTCACTGCAATATATCACTAAATTGCACTCAAATAAATCTAATCCAGCATACAATTGTGTTTTCAACCCTCAGTATGAAAACCTGTTTCAAAATCTATCAAACCTGGTTCCACCACTTGGAATTCAGAATTCAACCACACATCACTGCAGCTAAAATAGTTTTAAATATTATATAACCTCACCGTCTTCTGTCTTCCCCTCCCTGGCAGGTGGTGAAGCCAGAAGTAGACCTCACTCTAACCAATCCAAAAAAGTCGGATTCCAATCCTTTGGTATATCAACAATCATATAACAAATTACGCTCCAAATATAATTCTCACAGGTCCATTTTTACAGACGGATCCAAGGATGGTGGCAAAGTTGCTGGTGCCATCATCGTTGGATCCAGAGCTGTCTCCTTAAGAATCCCAGATTTTAGTTCATTTTTTACTGCTGAGACCAAAGCTATCCTAACAGCTTTGACCTATATTCAACAACAAAACCAATCTAAACATTCCATCATCTTCTCTGATTCGTTATCTTGCCGTCAGGCACTTAAAGGTGTCTCACCATATCGCCCTATTATCCATGAAATTTTAGAACTGTATAATGTAGGCATAACAGGAAACTCAAAAGCCGAAGATGCAGCTAAAGCAGCTCTTGACAAACCGTTATCTCCACTTCTGATCCTGTACAGTGATTTCAAACCAACCATCAAATCTTAAACTCGGGATCTCATGCAAAAGAGGTGGGACACCCAAGTAGGAAGCAATAAACTACACGAATAGAAACCAAAATTCGGTCATACTTACTTGGGTTGTCAGTCACGACATGACGAGGACGTTTTACGACGATGTAGTATTGGCCACAGTCGGTTTACACACGAATATCTGCATTAGGCAAATGAGGACGAACCCCCTAAGTTTATTCCTTTGTGATGAAAGGTTCACCGTCAAGCATATATTGGTTGACTGTGTTGACTTTGCAATCGCAAGGGATTCACATTATCAAAACGTAAATCTGAAAGATCTCTTTTCCCGTGTCAGCGGGCATCTCATTATCAGCTATTTGAAACAAATCAGTCTGTATAATAATTTTTCAATATGTATGTGAATAATTAAATGCTTGTTCCTAAATTGGTGTGATGCTATTATCAACTGACATTATTGAAGGCTCTGTCCAGGAGGTTAACGTAGCGTAAAAATATTGTCCCCCCTGTGTGACCCGTAATCCTATCATAATCGATGTTACTATCATCAACCAGTGTTTTTAAGCCAACTCATTCCTGTCATTTTTTTAATATTGGCTAGTACTGTTCACAACCACCTGTGGCTAAAGTGATGACGTAAATGCTGCGGGGGTATCATGCAGAAAGCAGAGGTACTGTAAGTCCTGAGGTGGCCTAGCTTTGCTGTTGCTGGTGGCCCATAGCCCGTGCTTTAAAAACTGTAAAATATTGTTATGCTCAACTATGTTTAATAAATTGTTTTTAAATATGGTATGCTAAAATTGATTTTAAATATTCCTTTGCTTGTTAACATATTAAACTTGGTCTCGTCGCTAAATGGCTGAAATAATGCCAATGAGACGTTAAATTTTAACTCACTCACTCATTCCCCTGGTCATCAGTGTGGTACATCAGTGTGGTACCAACCCTCTGCCCCTGCCTTCAATGTGTGTGTTCGGACGATGGCGTCTGGTATATACAGCAATCAGTAGTTCATATGTAGCTTTTTCTCTTCTCTGGTGCAATAATTTAATCAACGATTGGGTTATTGATTTAAGTGCGATCATTGATGTGTAGAATGTCTTACTGCAGTCGGGTAAGATTGAACAGATAAGGGGTGCAGTACAATACCAATGGATATTAAGTTAAGAAACCTCGAGATTACATCATCAACAGTGTGTGTCAGGCTTCTTAATGCTTAATTATATTTCCGGAGAATGTGTTTCTTTTAGAAATGCTATACAATAATTCAACATTAAGCTATATGAATATTTATAGATTAAGCCCTGCGTGTAAACAGAAATGTAAATATCTTTAGCTATGTAATGGCATTTAGAAAATGATTTACTCGTTAACAAATTAACATTTGCCGATTTTTATTAATATTCAAGACCTCAATTCCATTCAGTTGCTTCACCACTATGCAGTCACTGTATTGTTCGAACTGTGTATAATTTCCCACGAACAATTTTGTCCAAATACATGTAGCTGACATCTTTGACTTAGACAGACAAACAGAATTTGTTATGCACAGATGATTATCCTCACTTTGCCACCACACAGCAGAGGATTAACAGTAAGCCAAAAACGCTCACAGTAGTTAGTGAGAGAACTCAACTTAGGATTTTACGAGTATCCATAAAAACCAATGAATGCTTACCCAGTTCATTGACATTTATATAATTAAGGCAATTGCAGTGACCAGTAATCAAGTAATCAATGAGATAGTATACACATTCTGGAAAACTTCATTGTAAAATGGCAAATGCACCTGGGATTGTCTTATTCATTCCTAACAAACGTGGTGGCCGTAGTCCTTTATATCAAGGCTTTAAGTATGGAGTGAAACGAAGACGAGGTGCCCGCATACACTGGAAAAGTTGTATGCTGCATGTCCAGGCACCGCCAACACCTCTATATGATCTCACGACCAAGAACCTACCGCATAACCATTGTCATGATATTTCCATTATATATGATAGTTCTATGTAAATGTAAAGTCAATAAGACAAATGAGACGACCACTTCTGTCTGTCTCCTAAATCAGCAGGAGAGGCGACCCCGACATAGAATAATTGAACCTGTTCAGTGACGCCCTTCCATCAGCGTGACAAGGAGTACCCAGAGAAAAAGAAAGGATTAAAAACCCTGAAGGTATCCTATCTACATGGTATAAGTATTCACAAGCAATTTCCTCTAATAATATACTGTTTCCTTTGGTATCCCCAAATCGCAATGCACAGAAGTGGCACTGGACAATTGTAAAATCTCACCGGGTGATGGTTAAGATCACAAAACTATCTACGCCCAGATAACATAGTAGTTTATATTAATTTCCAATAGCCTCTTATAATTGATGGTAAATGGTAGAGCCTTATTATTAATTCTTACATAAACAAAACAAAAAGGTACATGTACATGTATCAATCTCAAGATACCAGCATCACATAACTTGACCGGCAGGTGATTAACAACACAGAGACAGATTTGTTGTGGCAGTGGTTGCTCTATCCTAACTTCTTGTCAACTTCGTCAGTTTCAACAAATTCAGAACGCAAGGGGCCAGGACTTGATTGAGAGAGCTAGCCTCGGGGGCTCGTGCCGAGCTCGACCACAATACGAAACAACATTCATTTCCAGGCCACCCAACTGTTCCATTTTACCCAAACTGTCCCCACCTTCCCTGTCATTACTTCTTAATTCGCCTCCACATTCATGCCAATATGTATCCATATCCATATCAATATAAACAGGAAAGCCTATAAAGTATCAATGACTGAAATGTGCACTCATCCTTCAGGTTACACACAACCAACCACACGACTTCTTTGGTGACGTTATATTTTTAAAAAACAACTATTATCTGTACGTGTGCACAGTTTGGCCTTAGAGCAGCAATAATAACAAGCCCGTTCCCTTTCTGAGTACAGGAAACTAAACACACCATCCCCACCAAATGACACCTACTTGAAAACATCTGTGGTCACATTCAGCATAAGTCATCATGTTGCAAAATACAGTACTTAATATAGAAAAACATTGTCGGTTTTAATTACTGGATGCAAGTACATTTAAAATCTTACACAAAATCACAATCACAGCCTGCAGATATCTGTAGGTTGGGGGAAATGGAGCATATTCACACGTGAGATAATAGGACATTTATGGTGGTGACAGCCCTATCAAAATAGAAAAACAATTAATATATTTCCCTTTTCATCCCTAAATGTACATACACATAAACACATTAATTATAGTCATTCAGGAAATGTAAGTGTATTAATTCTTAAAATTGGCCTTTATGAAGACAATCTTGTAACTTACGTGGCATGGTCGTTGTCGTTGTCATCGCCGGCGCTGAAGGTGTAAAATTCCTTTCCATAATTATAAGAATTTTCTGATTCCTATCATATCATAATCATTTGTTCTTGAATCAGTATAGAATAGTGATGAAACCATGTGTCTGCTAGAAGCTGAGCGTTTCAGAACCCACCGGTGGTACACATCATAAATACAAGCAAAGGTAAGTCAAGTGTTCACCTGAACAAATACGAGAGTGAGTGAGTTTGGTTTGACGCCGCTTTTAACAGTATTACAGTTATATCGCGGCGCGTCAGCTTATTGTGGGAGGAAAGCGATGCATGTGATGCAGGTCTCAGAAGTTTGCCACTTTGGTGAATCACATGAGCACATATGTAGTGCTGACAAACCTAGAAATATAATCGGGGCGAACCGGGATTCGAACCCACAATCATAGGCTTCTCGCGTGCCCAAGGGACGCAACTCTGCACAGCGAATCGCAGCGCCTGAGACGACTGGGCCAGCAGTGGCCCCACAAATACGGGAACATATTGTATTGTCAAAATGGCATCGAAACAATTCACAATTTCAAATGTGTCACAAAAGCGTCAATTGAGGAAATGTTCTACATTTCCACCATAAAATTGTCTTCAAATCCGTCAGCTATCGGTATGACGCTCTTTGAAATCTTCGTAGAAAGGGCAAGTGCGATTCACCTCAAAGGTGTGAATTATAGACGCCAAAGGTTGGGGCTGCAGGGATATTGATTTAAGTAATTCTTGAATTTAAACAAATTCTAGTCCTCACAAACCTGTATAATATTCAAATATTATAAAACTACTAACAGCAAAATATATTTCTATTCTTAAAGATATTCTGTCAAAACGAAATCACCGTGATGATGACCTATTCATTATACAGATTATGAGCCAAATGGATGAGAGATGAGGGGCCAATGATTCCTTGAAAAAATTATGGTATGTAAATTGGGTAAACTAAGTATCTTAGAAGTACTTACCGACGCAGCACGTCATACCGGCTGGACACTGGAGACCGGGAATTGGGACAACACAGCCAGCAGGGGCAACACATGCGATGCCAGTGGCGAGGCATGCTGAAAATGAGGAAACGTGTTATATTTGGAATAAGATAATATTGGATTAATATGGACACTGTATGATTGACATTTTTTCTTTTTCATTCGTTTAGCAACCAATACAGTAATGGCCATATATTTTCCCTTCATTTTAAATAGAGTTTGTCAGTTAGTTCCACTCCTTCGTCAACAATATGCTGACACTATCACCTACCAAAAGCCCAATGATGACCCAACCGGCAGACTAAACGCCAACACAAGTCCATCCTGAAACGTCTTATAGGCACCTTTGAACTCAGAAGTACTACAAACTTTCCGCCGCACACGCACAACCTCCCTATGCCCGTGCCATCATCAAGATCCATATAAAATCCAACAAAGTTAGATTACTTGTATGTTTCTGTACAGTTTGCTCTTAATAATTGTTAAATGTCCTTTGTATGGAGAGGTGTTTAAATATACTGAACCGCAAAAGAAACGTTACCCCGAGCAACATTGCATGAAAAGTTGTCATTTAAATATCTGGGTAATTTTTGTCAAAGTTTCTAAAATTTAACATTACCTTGTTCCGGAAAAATAAAATTTAATAATAAAAAAATAAAGCAAATGACAATAATCCCGATCGCCCAAACGCATCATGGCAACGGTCATGGTAACCCGATGCACGTGAGTTCCGTGCAAATTAAAATGCACATGCGTTCCCCCATTTCTTGCCCTATAAAAGTCCATCAGGTAACATTCATTCGTTATTGAATTGCTACCACATGCCAAGATTGACAATAAATCAGCGACACAAAGCCTTTGGACGATTGCAAGCTGAACAAACCGCCCGGCAAGTAGTCAATGCATTTCAAGTCCACGTAAGGACCATATACAGGCTCCAGCAACGGTACCAGACCACCAACACTACAGATGACCGATCATGTAGTGGAAGACCAAGGGTCACCACCCGACGTCAGGTTCGTCAGATTGTGCGACAGCATCTTCAAGATTGCTTTGTTACCGCTGCGGAAACTGCTCGACAGAGCATTGGGACATACCAACGACACATTAGTGCGGACATCTTGCGTCGGCGATTGACGAGTAGGCATCTCCACCGCCACAGGCCACACCGAGGACCCATTCTGACAACACGTCATCGCCGGGACCATCTTCAGTGGGCAACACGCCACCAGCATTGGTGCCACCAGGAATGGAGAAGAGTCCTCTTCTCAGACTAGAGCCGTTACTGTTTCTCAACAGCAGATGACAGAGAGAGTGTCTGACAACGCCGTGGGGAACGTTATTCGGATGCTTGCGTTGTTAAGAGAGACTCGTGGGGTAGTCCGAGCATCATGGTGTGGGGTGGAATTGGTCTTGCACAGGGGGTCGACCCTGTGGTCTTCCAGAACATCGGTTCAGGGAGATGGCAATGGTGTCACAGCAGCTCGGTACATTGATCAAGTCTTGAGACCACACGTCATACCTCATTTGGCACATCGCCGCAATCACGAGTTTCAGCATGATAATGCCTGTGCCCACACTGCGAGAACGATTTCCTCCAGCAGAACCATGCAGTGGCCTGACCTCAGTCCCGATTTAAATCCAATTGAGCACCTGTTGGACGAGATTCAAAGACGGCTGAATGACGTCCGACGAGGCAAACAACCGCAGCTGAACTGCATCAGGCGTTGCCCAGAGCAGAGTGTTGGCTCAAGTGCCTCTGGCCTTCATCAACTGCCACATCCATACCATGTATCGATGTTGCATGGCAGTCATAAATGCACTAGGCAGACACACGAGATACTGACTTGTGATGCCATTTTCTCAGAGATTAGTATTCTGTTTCACTTTAAGAACATTTGACACCTTAATTTCAACCTTGATAATCAGTTTTCCCAAGTTTCATATTTTTAATATGTCTCAAAGTATGTTTGCAGTGTTTGGACAAATATATATCTATCTATGGTGACGTTTCTTTTGCGCTTCAGTATATGTTTTGCCTGTTCACCAATCCCATTTATTTTGCAGGGACATAAATGTTGTTAAAATCAAATCCTATATAGCAGACTCCACAGACTTTTGTCAGAAGATCCAGACCACCATTCAACCTGAAGAGATCATCAACTGTGATGTTGTTGATCTCTTCACAAAGGTCCCTACTGACGAAATCCTTCAAATTCCCTGTCAACGTATCTCCAACCTAGATCAAGCACTTGATACCACCCTCCATAGCCACTTTCATCAGCCTCACCGAATCCTGCATGACCTCAACCAACTTTCCCAGAGGAGGCGCCACCTACGAGCAGATACACAGCATCCACATTGGATCCCCTCTCTCCCAACTATCCTTACAGAAATCTATCCTTTGAAGAAAAAGTCCTATCCACATTCCCAATAAAACCCGTCTGCTGGTACAGGAAGGTAGACGACACCTTTGTAATCCTCAGAAAAACATAAAACGTCTCATGTAAAGCAGGTAGTAAGATTGTAAATAATAATATTCAAATCGCATTGAAAAAAACAATGCAAAATCTGTAATCCTAAGCCTTATGTTCCACATACCAGGATAGCCAGGAGGTAAATTGATTAAATAAGAGGAGAAATGTACCATTACATACATGCAAAGACATCAGCTGACTATGATTAAATCTGTAAATGTTACGACACTCTACCTGTCTGCATGAACTATTAAAAAATGTACCTAAGGTCACGAGATAGAGGCTGAAGATAAAATACCATCATGAACAATTCATGTAGTCATTATTGCTTCATTTTACCAAGAAGGATACCCCGAAAAACATCAAACGTTGAGTAACAAACATTCACCCAGTAGAGTAGAGATATGTAAAAAATATCTATCTATCGATATGCTGAAACCCATTGACAAAACACTCTAGCGAATGTAATTCTCATAATTTGTGATATCAAAAACTACATTTGATTTTTCAAATATCACAAATTCGATTGTTTATATGCTAAAATACATCATTTGAAATACTAAATTCTTTTACCGATATCTAAAATCGATACCTAAAATCAAATTTGGGATATAAATTCATTCTTTGGAATCATTAAATGAATTTCTGATATCATAAAATAAGGAATATATAGTTAAACTCTGCGCCTTTTATAGTGTTCCTCTTTGCATCATGGTTGTAGCGTTCACTGCTAGACTTTTTTAAACAAGTATTTCTTTCATCATATAAAGAACTGTTGAAAAATGTCAACTTCAAATAAACTATTAACTGTAACCAAGGAAATACTACCTACCGGACCTGCGTTTATTTATCATCTCGATTGTTATCACAGTTAACATCTGTCTATTTTTAAGTGTATATGCTTATACTAGAACATCGTACTGACTGACACATCACCTTAAAGCATTTACACGTAGGTCCTGTATATACAATAAAACCTTTGATTCTATAGCACAGAAAAAATACCCAGATTATTACTGTATAACGGTTCATTCTTTGTTTTCAGACGTGACATTCAAACAAATAATTCAGGCGTAACAGTTATCACATTCTTGCCGTTTATGGCGGAGCCTGGCCAGAGTTGAGAGTTATAAGCAGAGATATAAAGCACTTGTTTTCGTATTGACGCAAACGCTTTCATAACCCATAATCTAGGTTTTGTGTTAGTACTATTGTATTGACAAATAAGTTTGATAACAGACAGAAACAGCCAGTGTATGTATGTCGGCGTACAAGATGCTCGGACAGGTGTAATGTTAGATTGGTCTCCCTTCGCCAATCGGGCCCCTGTGAGACTTTAATGTCTCATACTTGACAGGCATTGTACATATCTACCCGAACCACGTAGCAATTTTTATGCTTTACTATGCGTGAGACTAAAATTAAAATCTTCTTCTTCTTCTTCTTCTTCTTATTCGTCCGGCTATTTGATTTAGAAATATTTATTTTCACAAAAAATGTGAAAATGGATTGTAAACAAGCGAAGCGCTTATGTTAATACTGTTCATTACACAAAGTAGATTGTGGTAGATTGTACATTGTAGATTTTCTGATGACTCGTACCCCGGACAGCGCCACACATCGTTCTAAGGGCATCTAAGTTTAATTTTTCTTATCAATTACCTTGTTCATTACTACAGATGTCCCAAATATGACAACTACAATAACAAAATTGGTAAGGTAAAGGATTTGTACATAGCTTCTAAGGTAGTTCAGGATAGACGATATTTATAACTTCTTAAAGAATTAACCAGAGGTCAACATTTCCTGGCAATATCATCAATGTGCATTTTCAATGTACAATTACTTTGAAAAGTAATAGCTAGGAGCTTATGACTTTGTTCATCTTTGATTTCTTTACCATTCATATATAAGTTAGGTTTGCGACTTGGGTTTACTTAACGGGTAAATTGAATAGATTCGGTTTTTTGGACTAAATTTAATTTACCATCATGCAGCACATTCTGAAATTCTGTCGAAATCAGTATTGACATTACAAGCAGCTATATCAGGATCTTCTATAATCAAATACTAAGATATGTCATCAGCGAAAAGCTTACATTACTATTTATTCCTTCAACAATGTCATTGATATAGATAATAAGCAACACTGGTCCCACGACCGGGCCCTGTGGCACACCTGAGTGTCTGAGCTATAGCCATTTATAACTACGTTTTGATATCGATTTTCTAAATAATAAGTTCGGCCATTCCCACGCGGGTATTAAGTGAACATGAGTGAGTGAGTGAGTGTGTTTGGTTTTACGCCGCTTTTAGCAATATTCCAATAATATCACGGCAGGGGACACCAGGAATAGGCTTCACAAATTGACCCATGTCGGGATTCGAACCCGGGTCTTCGGCATGACGAGCGAACGCTTTAACCACTAGGCTAAGGACCGCGCCTTAAGTGAACATGAAAGGTATGACACTTGTTATAGTTAATTTAAGGGGTGCAGTACAATACCAATGGATATTAAGTTAAGAAACCTCGAGATTACATCATCAACAGTGTGTGTCAGGCTTCTTAATGCTTAATTATATTTTCCGGAGAATGTGTTTCTTTTAGAAATGCTATACAATAATTCAACATTAAGCTATATGAATATTTATAGATTAAGCCCTGCGTGTAAACAGAAATGTAAATATCTTTAGCTATGTAATGGCATTTAGAAAATGATTTACTCGTTAACAAATTAACATTTGCCGATTTTTATTAATATTCAAGACCTCAGTTCCATTCAGTTGCTTCACCACTATGCAGTCACTGTATTGTTCGAACCGTGTATAATTTCCCACGAACAATTTTGTCCAAATACATGTAGCTGACATCTTTGACTTAGACAGACAAACAGAATTTGTTATGCACAGATGATTATCCTCACTTTGCCACCACACAGCAGAGGATTAACAGTGAGCCAAAAACGCTCACAGTAGTTAGTGAGTGAACTCAACTGAGGATTTTACGAGTATCCATAAAAACCAATAAATGCTTACCCAGTTCATTGACATTTATATAATTAAGGCAATTGCAGTGACCAGTAATCAAGTAATCAATGAGATAGTATACACATTCTGGAAAACTTCATTGTAAAATGGCAAATGCACCTGGGATTGTCTTATTCATTCCTAACAAACGTGGTGGCCGTAGTCCTTTATATCAAGGCTTTAAGTATGGAGTGAAACGAAGACGAGGTGCCCGCATACACTGGAAAAGTTGTATGCTGCATGTCCAGGCACCGCCAACACCTCTATATGATCTCACGACCAAGAACCTACCGCATAACCATTGTCATGATATTTCCATTATATATGATAGTTCTATGTAAATGTAAAGTCAATAAGACAAATGAGACGACCACTTCTGTCTGTCTCCTAAATCAGCAGGAGAGGCGACCCCGACATAGAATAATTGAACCTGTTCAGTGACGCCCTTCCATCAGCGTGACAGGAGTACCCAGAGAAAAAGAAAGGATTAAAAACCCTGAAGGTATCCTATCTACATGGTATAAGTATTCACAAGCAATTTCCTCTAATAATATACTGTTTCCTTTGGTATCCCCAAATCGCAATGCACAGAAGTGGCACTGGACAATTGTAAAACCTCACCGGGTGATGGTTAAGATCACAAAACTATCTACGCCCAGATAACATAGTAGTTTATATTAATTTCCAATAGCCTCTTATAATTGATGGTAAATGGTAGAGCCTTATTATTAATTCTTACATAAACAAAACAAAAAGGTACATGTACATGTATCAATCTCAAGATACCAGCATCACATAACTTGACCGGCAGGTGATTAACAACACAGAGACAGATTTGTTGTGGCAGTGGTTGCTTTATCCTAACTTCTTGTCAACTTCGTCAGTTTCAACAAATTCAGAACGCAAGGGGCCAGGACTTGATTGAGAGAGCTAGCCTCGGGGGCTCGTGCCGAGCTCGACCACAATACAAAACAACATTCATTTCCAGGCCACCCAACTGCTCCATTTTACCCAAACTGTCCCCACCTTCCCTGTCATTACTTCTTAATTCGCCTCCACATTCATGCCAATATGTATCCATATCCATATCAATATAAACAGGAAAGCCTATAAAGTATCAATGACTGAAATGTGCACTCATCCTTCAGGTTACACACAACCAACCACACGACTTCTTTGGTGACGTTATATTTTTAAAAAACAACTATTACCTGTACGTGTGCACAGTTTGGCCTTAGAGCAGCAACAATAACAAGCCCGTTCCTTTTCTGAGTACAGGAAACTAAACACACCATCCCCACCAAATGACACCTACTTGAAAACATCTGTGGTCACATTCAGCATAAGTCATCATGTTGCAAAATACAGTACTTAATATAGAAAAACATTGTCGGTTTTAATTACTGGATGCAAGTACATTTAAAATCTTACACAAAATCATCCAATCACAGCCTGCAGATATCTGTAGGTTGGGGGAAATGGAGCATATTCACACGTGAGATAATAGGACATTTATGGTGGTGACAGCCCTATCAAAATAGAAAAACAATTAATATATTTCCCTTTTCATCCCTAAATGTACACATAAATACATTAATTATAGTCATTCAGGAAATGTAAGTGTATTAATTCTTAAAATTGGCCTTTATGAAGACAATCTTGTAACTTACGTGGCATGGTCGTTGTCGTTGTCATCGCCGGCGCTGAAGGTGTAAAATTCCTTTCCATAATTATAAGAATTTTCTGATTCCTATCATATCATAACCATTTGTTCTTGAATCAGTATAGAATAGTGATGAAACCATGTGTCTGCTAGAAGCTGAGCGTTTCAGAACCCACCGGTGGTACACATCATAAATACAAGCAAAGGTAAGTCAAGTGTTCACCTGAACAAATACGAGAGTGAGTGAGTTTGGTTTGACGCCGCTTTTAACAGTATTACAGTTATATCGCGGCGCGTCAGCTTATTGTGGGAGGAAAGCGATGCATGTGATGCAGGTCTCAGAAGTTTGCCACTTTGGTGAATCACATGAGCACAGATATAGTGCTGACAAACCTAGAAATATAATCGGGGCGAACCGGGATTCGAACCCACAATCATAGGTTTCTCGCGTGCCCAAGGGACGCAACTCTGCACAGCGAATCGCAGCGCCTGAGACGACTGGGCCAGCAGTGGCCCCACAAATACGGGAACATATGGTATTGTCAAAATGGCATCGAAACAATTCACAATTTCGGCAGACATCAAATTTGACACAAAAGCGTCAATTGAGGAAATGTTCTACATGTCCACCATAAAATTGTCTTCAAATCCGTCAGCTATCGGTATGACGCTCTTTGAAATCTTCGTAGAAAGGGCAAGTGCGATTCACCTCAAAGGTGTGAATTATAGACGCCAAAGGTTGGGGCTGCAGGGATATTGATTTAAGTAATTCTTTAATTTAAACAAATTCTAGTCCTCACAAACCTGTATAATATTCAAATATTATAAAACTACTTACAGCAAAATATATTTCTATTCTGAAAGATATTCTGTCAAAACGAAATCACCGTGATGATGACCTATTCATTATACAGATTATGAGCCAAATGGATGAGAGATGAGGGGCCAATGATTCCTTGAAAAAATTATGGTATGTAAATTGGGTAAACTAAGTATCTTAGAAGTACTTACCGACGCAGCACGTCATACCGGCTGGACACTGGAGACCGGGAATTGGGACAACACAGCTAGCAGGGGCAAGACATGCGATGCCAGTGGCGACGCATGCTGAAAATGAGGAAACGTGTTATATTTGGAATAAGATAATATTGGATTAATATGGACACTGTATGATTGACATTTTCTCTTTTTCATTCGTTTAGCAACCAATACAGTAATGGCCATATATTTTCCCTTCATTTTAAATAGAGTTTGTCAGTTAGTTCCACTCCTTCGTCAACAATATGCTGACACTATCACCTACCAAAAGCCCAAGGATGACCCAACCGGCAGACTAAACGCCAACACAAGTCCATCCTGAAACGTCTTATAGGCACCTTTGAACTCAGAAGTACTACAAACTTTCCGCCGCACACGCACAACCTCCCTATGCCCGTGCCATCATCAAGATTCAAAAAAAAAAACAAAGCTAGATTACTTGTATGCTTCAGAGAATCTGTACAATTTACCCTTAATAATCGTTAAATGTCCTTTGTATGGAGAGGTGCTTAAATATACTGATCAGCAAAAGAAACGTCACTCCAAAGTTTCTAAAATTTAACATTACCTTGTCCGAGGTAAATGAAATGAAATTTGATAATAAAAAAACAAAGCAGATGACAATAAAACCGATCGCCCAAACGCATAAAGGCAACGGCCATGGTAACCTAATGCACGTGAATTCCATGCAAATTGAAATGCAAATACGTTTCCCCATTTCTTGCCCTATAAAAGACCATCTAGATCGGATAACATTCATTCGTTATTGAATTCCTACCACATGCAAAGATTGACAAGAAATCAGCAACACCAAGCCCTTGGACGATTGCAAGCTGGACAAACCGCCCGGCAAATAGCCAATGCAAGTCCACGTAAGAGCCATATACAGGCTCCAGCAACGGTACCAGACCACCAACGCTACAGATAACCGACCACGTAGTGGAAGACCAAGGGTCAACGCCCGACGTCAGGATCGTCAGAATGTGCGACAGCATCTTCAGGATCGCTTTGTTACTGCCGCGGAAACTGCTCGACGGACCATGGTGACGCGTCGAAAATTGACAGGCAGACACCTCCACTGTCACAGGCCACACCGAGGACCCATTGTGACACCACGTCATCGCCGGGACCGTCTTCAGTGAGCAACACAGCACCAGCCTTACCCCACCAGAATGGCATCAGAACCATGCAGTGGCCTGTCATTAGTCCCGATTTTAATCCCATTGAGCACCTGTGGGACGAGATTCAAAGACGACTGGATGACGTCCGATCAAGGCTGACAACTGCAGCTGCAGTGCCTCTAGTCTTCATCAATCGCCTCATCCATTCCATGTATCGACGTTGCACGGCAGTCATCAATGCACATGGCAGACATACGAGATACTGACTTGTGATGCCATTTTCTCAGAGATTAGTGTTGAGTTTCACTTTAAGAACATTTGACATTTTATTTTCAACCTTGATAATAAGTTTTGCAAAGTTTCATCTTTTAAATATGTCTGAAAGTATGTTTACAGTGTTTGGACAAATAAGGTTCCTCATATATCTACCCACGGTGACGTTTCTTTTGCGGTTCAGTATAGGATTTGCCTGTTCACCAATCCCATTCATTTTTGGGGGAAATAAATATCGTTAAAATCAAATCCTATATAGCATATACGTATTTCAGTACAACAGCTAGACGATGCTGTACGCGAAATGTGAAGGTGCTATGCAACGTTAGGTTCGTGAATAAATGGTGTGAATTTAGCAACACTTGTATATATCAGGTATATACCTGAGAAAGATGAGAACTGTTTTCCATGAAATTGCAAAAGAAACATGCACTGAGAAATTTTCTTATCAACTACATAATACAATGTTCAAAATATAGAGATGGGAATCACCGAAATCCATTTAGATATTTCTTTTAAAGGGTTAATTGGTGCATGGTGTATACAAATATTTCATGTACGAATGGTGGCGGTTTGTAGCCATTTACTACAATGATTACATTTCAATCATAATAAATAAAGTATAGATATTATAATGACATTAAAAAAAGTTGAAATATTGGAAATTATATATTTTTCAGACACAAAACAAAAAGGACTATATCATTGGTTTAAATACATATTCAAAGGTCCTAATACCGAATACAATTTTTCATCTTATGAATTAAGCACTGTATTCATACTAACTTTTAATCTCTACAATGATGATTGTATTAACATTGCAGTGTCTACATCCAGTTTGCTTTGACAGTAATCAGATGAATGTAATTGATAAAGCTCGTTATTAATTTCATTAGACCTCACCGTTTAGGTTTCTTTATTCTAAACTGATGTTTCAAATTCCCGTCCAAACAAATTAATAATGTAAGAGTAAACTACGGTTATAACGAACTCAAAGGGACCACAAACTTTAGTTCGTTATAACCATAGTTCGTTATAAGCATGTATATATAGCATTTATACAGCATATATACAGCAAATGGCCGGGACCAAAAAAAAGTTCGTTATACCCGCCAGTTCGTTATAAGCGTGTTCGATATAAACGTAGTTTTCTGTATTCATTTTTTTCTTTACATCAAAAGAGCTCTGCAATGCACAATTCTATGATGTTTTTTGATACCATTGTATACTTGTGCATGTGTACTGGTATTAGATTATACATGCACGATTATACATAACAGCCATTATATATACGTATCAATTGTTGTATGTAGGAACAAATTACAAAAATAAATGCATTCAGGCATATCTCTATGTAATGATTGTGGAGTAAATTTTGCATGTTTCTCACGGTATAACACTATGATTACAAACTATTTAAGATCACATTCGCCATATCATAACATCATTTAATAAATAGACTTAATACCATATGTATCTTGAAGTATTGTTGAATGAAAATCAGGATATTTCGCCATAGCAGGGTAGTGCATGGGTTGTGAGGGAAATAATTTGTCAACATATGTTACCAAAACAAGAAGGTACAAATCATTTACATCTATTGTGCATCATGCACATCTTGTAGGGTAGTCAGTATGATTGGTTTCTTGTTGGAAATGTTCATCTGAAAGTAACATTTAAAACCAGTTATTTTATTCTGAACGTTATTTCTTCTTCAATTATTAGTAACGGCACGGATGTATACTACTAATAGATACGTGGAAAGGGCTTGTCAAAGATGTACGTGTGCTAATAATGTAAGCGTATTTCGTATTGATTACACTGGCAATATGAACACTATTTGTTCAGATTCTAACGCTACGATGGTTAAGAAATTGTCTTTGGAAATAACACAAAAGCTGATTGTTGAATTTATTTCATCGATGTGATATGTTATCGTGACAAAATGCATCACTGTTATCAGAGGTGGAACAAAACATTTTAGCTGCATATCGGCAGTCTATTGATAATCGAGTCTGTACCAGACAATCCATTAATTGATATAACGAGTATCGATCTACACTTTTGGGACACGATGACATGCATCAACCTTGTCAGCAAGCGTGATCGTTATGGCAAGCATGGGGGTAACTATCTATGGAGACTACGTTATGTGACAAATGCTCTCTGGAACTAGAAGTGACATTTTCCCATAAGTTTTGGCGTGAGATACTGTTGAACAAAGTGGGAAAGTGAAATATGTAATTATAATTGAACTTGGTTCTTTTCAGAGATTGCAAAAATTCATAAAACTATTTTAACTTTCGATTCAGTTAAATTGTATCAATCTTTATATGGCATTTCAAATATCACTTGCGTGTTAAAATGTCACTTGTTTTGCCCCAAATCCCTATATATATATATATATATATATATATATATATATATATATATATATATATATATATATATATATTATAATTTGAATAAAAAAGGATCAATTAAATGACTAAATTATCTCAATCACATTAAAAGCAGATGAACTGGAACTGGAACTCTGCGTTAGCCAATAAGAAGGCAGCTGTCTTGAGCTTTGCAGCACTTGACTTAAACTGGCGACTGCCATTACAGACTACACTCTCAAAGGCAATTACACTTAGTCATACAGCCCGTAACTGAAGGTCGGAATAGCCTGTGTTAAAACTTTCTAATGATTTTATGCAACATGCAAAGCTTTTGCATGGCACATAATACACCACGAGAACCCTTCATCCATTTGTGAGATAGCACTACTTCATTTTCACTGTGGACAGAGAAAGATACGTTCGACAGACGTATATATATGTAGCGCTTGATAGAGTTCAGAGTACACATTATTTTGTTTAAATGTATACAGGACCCGGTTTGGCGGCCCATTTCTTTCCGCCAAGAACACATGACACACAGTAATGAAAAATATGGCCCTGAATTTCTTAAAAATGTGTAGGATGTGATTTTCCTTCCTTATCATGCTGAGACACCGGTGTAACTGGAATACTGTTCAAATCAACGTAAAATTCATCACATAAAGAATAATTCTTTTTTTGTTTTCTAAAACATATTCTGTCCTCAACTCACGTGGTGCAGTTGTAGGCGGCATCGTTGTTGTGGTCGAAGTTGTTGTGGTCGAAGTTGTTGCTGTAAATAGGACAAGAAGCGTTCGAGTTCAGGTTTCTACCCTTTCAGCATATCCGTGTAATAATAGTCAATACCAGAAATTATTACTGAAAATTGGCTGAAAATTTTACTTGTGTGAACTGACTTAACAAGTCACTTGATTTGCAAAATATCACTTTCATTTACAAATACCCAAAACTGTATGTTATTCTGTAACGGTATTAACAGAACAATCCCACCTATGAAAAGTCGACACAATTTTCTTTACGCGTATCTCAAATAATAAACTCTCCAGTGTTTCATTACATATCGATTAATTTCTCGAAACAGCAAAGTAAGAGTAAATAAAGATGCCTGTATTAAAGGTGTAACTGAAAAAACTATCTGATCTAAACATACATGACCCCCGGGAGTTCTTCCCACATTACGATGACACACGTAATAACACTGATACACTGTTAGGCGACTGAATGGATCGCGAATTCAACATTGAACAGTACTAAAAACGGCATTCGCCTAACGTCTAGCGAACTCACTACTAATACATTCGGCAGCACCAAAAAGGAACTTGAGAATATCGCAGGTCAAGCCCATGGGATCCCTGGCGCAGTACCTGCAAAACAAAAGCAACACTTTGGATTTGTTCGACACTGGATTCACCAATTTTACATGACACATATTAGTAATACATACACCCTTGTTCCTGTAAGGATCAGATGGGAATTCTGAGTATTTCAATGTCATAATGGCTTATCAGTGTAAATGCGGGGTAAGTACAAACTGAGACGCAGTCACCAACGTTAACCACTTTGATGACTACCACGATCAGTCCCGGAATTCACGATCAAGGGAGAACTTTCATGGCAAATTAAGGGGACTTAGTCTCCATGATCACAGGAAATTAGAGATGTCCATCTTCTTGGTATCACATGAATAATTTATTCTCAAATCAATTTTATTTTGTATCAATGACTTCATGAATGACGGTTCATGAATACTTTCATTAAAATATTTAGATATGATCATGGTAACTACACACGCAAAAGAAAAGTTTCAATTCCAATATCCATTGTAACATTGCATAGGATACATGTCATGGCTTTACTCTAACTAACTTTGATATGCTATGTTTATGTGACTTTGATACGTACCTGCACATTGTTTCATTCAATCTTGGAATATTTCCTGGCATGATAGCGCTGTAGAGAAGGCTTTTATCCATGACGTGTGCCCCACAGAATCTTTCGCAGTATTCAACCAATTCAAAAACTGGGAGACATGCAGCCTCTGTATTGGGGCAGATGTCTTGGGCGATCCTTCCTAAAGACAAGCAGTTGCTCTCCACGAAGCGTTTATACATGTGAAAATCGACTGTTCCATGGATGACACAGGGCATGAGGAGGAGGAGAGACACCCCGACCAGGAAGGCGTGTAGTGAAGACATCTTCCCTGAAGTCTCACGACTGATGAGGGAAACGGAAGCAGCGGTGGGTCTTATAGGTATCGTTATGATCGAACCCAAGATAGCAGGTAGCCTATGGCACAATTTTTATTTGCTTGACTTTTTGACGTAGACAGTATCTGTATTGGAGGTATCTTTATCTTATACACCTGACTCGTTCAGTAATTTTAAACCCCTAGGTTATGAAGTTATCTTTGAGTTGACAAAGAAATGCCCGAGATATATCTAAGTTAGAATTTGGAATAATTTGTTTCATTATTATGAGTTTGTAGAATGCCTGGAATTCTTGACACTGGTGTACATTTTTCTCGAATAGCAAGAAACAGAACATATGATCGACATCCATACCACAGAAGAAGGATTTCTTGTTTTACACTTTTCTCATATTTTTTTTCAAATGACACAAATTAATCCTGAATACAGAAGATATCATCTATACACTTGTCGAATGCGGTATTCAAATCCACTGTTATTATTATCAGTAATAATGCATAAAAAACATTCTTGTGCACAAATGAATATGTACTAATGACTTGATAAATGAGAAAAGACATTACTGTCCATATAAATATGAAACGTCAACGCCAGACAATAAACCAGTCAAGCTACAAGTTGGCGTAAAGGATAAAATAGCAGTGAAAAGTATAACAAGGTAGGCAAGTCCATAGCACCCGCCAGTCGAACACAATTTCAGAAGAAAATATAAATTTGTTGCCTGATGCCGCATAAAACTATGTAAAGAACTCAAGGTGATCAATAATGTGAGAACTGGTGTATCCATATTATGGATTATATACATAAAAAAGAATGTGACAAGTTATCCGCACGCTAATGACCCTTTTTGTTAATATAATCTACTTCGTATGTGTTTCGTATTGTACTTGGGAAAGGTGTTTAACACTGGATCAATGAAAAAAGATGATATTCCTTTTTCATACCTCTAAAAACGAGTTATATATGTTGTTATAGTTATCAACGATGTATTTTTATTTCAACTGAAACAAGACCGCCTTCGTTGACAAGTGGTGGGGTTTCCGCCTGGAGAGTGGATGGTCGGGGCCTGGATCCCCGGACGCGTCACACAAAAAGACGTTAACAGATGGGACTTGTTTAAACCTTGTCTGGCGCTCGGCATTATGAGGCTCAAACAATCCCTCGTCCCCTCGGAGACAGTATACTCACCCTGAGTGGGGTATCCATGTTGAAACTGCAGCATGCATTAGTTATCTCTGTGGGCTGGCACTAAATTGTCGGCATTAGTCCGGACTAGGACAAGCAGCCACACACACGCGCATGCTATATTAGTGCAACAATCTTGAAAGGACGTTAAACCCCATTTCATCTCACCTCAATTGAAAAACATGTTATATACTCAACAACAAAAGTTCCTGTGACACCAATATTTTAGTGTATTTTTCAAACAAGTAAAGTTTGGTTTTCAACATTGTAGTACATGTATGGAATCAAGTAAAAACACGCAACTGCTGCAGAAAAGCATGCATTCCACGCAAAGGTTGACTTTTATGTAAGCCCCATGCATTTCACTGCCCAAGAATGGGTATAAAAACATGTGCGTTAACGGGATTCCATATGCATATAACAACCACTCAGAAAAACAAATAAAATACGCAATTATTCAACATTACGAAATGCCACGCCTGTCCGAAAATAAGCGTCTGCGAGCCATTGGTATGCTTGAAGCAGGGTCGAGTCAACGTGATGTTGCAAGACAATTTAACGTCACGGAAACACCATTTGGTGTTTATGGCAACGTTGGCAACAGACGAGTGCAGTCCGAGACCATCCTCAGAGTGGCAGGCCACGCGTAACCAATAATCGACAAGACAACTGGATTCGAACAACACACCTACGAAATCGATTCCAGCCAGCAACAGTGGTGCAGACTGCGTCTTCGCTGGACGGCCATGCAGTGGGGACAAGTTCTATTCACTGACGAGTCTCGTTTTCACCTCAGCCACAGCGATGGACGGATTCGGGTGTACCGACGTCGAGGTGAACGTTACGTCTATCATTGTGTCATGGAAGAAGATCAGTTCGGGGGCGGCAGCGTTATGGTATTGGGTGGGATTACAGCAAGACAGAGGACCCGTTTGATAGTGGTCGAGGGAAATCTCAATGGACAGCACTACCGCGAAGAGATCATCGGCATAACGTTCTACCGTTTTTTCCTCGTCATGGCCCAGGCATTACCGTTCAACATGACAACGCCTGGCCTCATATTGCTCGACTTGTTCAGGATTCTCTGACGTGAATGTCATCCCCTGGCCGGCTCGCTCCACTGATTTCTCACCAATCGAGCACATGTGGGATGAGATAGAGGTGGACACATACGCTACTGATTTTTAAATTGACATTTTGGCATGTTCATGTTTTTTTATGAAATCACGCATTTTCTGTAGTCTGAATTAAACCATTTGAACACTTACAGGAGTTTTTTATCTATTGCAAACCGAAATTGTTTCAGATTTGGTAAAAAACGTAACTTTGCATTAAATCTTATTCAATGTCACAGGAACTTTTGTTGTTCAGTATTGTTGCATGATGATACGAGAATGTGAATGCAAATATCACCGAGGTTTGGCGCAAGTTGGGATGGAGTCGTGCGTTGGCTCCCTGATATTTTGTATGGACTATTCGAGTGTCAATCATGTAACTATTTCATCCAATGGCTGACGAGCATGCCCCTGAGGGAGAGGGCAATTCCGTATGAAATCTCTCTGGCGCTGAGTCTAAATCTAGTTCTTCTTTCATAATTATCTGACATCGAGGGGCTCCAATTTGACCTCCCTACAGAACCCTTGTCACGAATGTCGGGTCATTCATTGAGTAAACATGATCCACATTGTATTACTACAATGGATGCAGTTAAAATTATGTTATGTCTCCTGACTTCGTTTGATGTTGTTGCATTTTATTATGTGAGGGAGACCCTGTTATTGGCCAACACTGGCTTCATTTCGTGAGTAACCAGTCAGCGATGACCACAAAGTGTGGTGACACTTGAGATACAACACATATGATAGCGTGATATCAGGGTTTGTTGTCCAGTAATGCATGTATTGCCATGAAAACATTATGTCGGCTATTGGGTGAAAAGGTGTGCTTATATATTCAAATATTCAAATAGTGCTGTATGATATTACAAAGGCAATATCGAATGCGACCAGAAGAATAGTTCTGGAACATCACTAAAAGCGCTGCAAAAATATAATCACTCCCTCACTCACTCACTCCTTCTGATTAAGGGGATAACACAAGGTCTGGTCGATTCGGAGTCAGTATAATGTACCTGAGGGGCGTAGCCATGTTGTATTGGGGTATTGCACTTCAGTAGGCTAGGACCATGACGTGAGTGTATATACGTCCAACCGTGAGGCTCCTGCGATAATAAAGAGAACCAATGAACTTGTACAGAAAACACGTATTTCAAAATTCAGACATGTTTTTTAAACAAACCTTTTTCGCGAACACCTGGTAACATCCTTTGATTTTCCCTCCTAATTTGCATTTTATGCCACCTGAAATCTTTGTGTTTTGCTTAGATATATCTAATGATCCATGATCTAAACCTTTGATACGCATTTAGAAATTAGACACTTTCCTTTTACAATTCCTTTATTGTTTGTAACAATCATGCAATTTCTGTGTTGTTTGACAAGGAATGGTTCTGTTATGTTAGACATATAATTTGTGTATTTCGCAATGTCCAACCGGATGGCTCGTCATGGTTTTACAAGAATGGTAGTACTAATGGTGGGGATTTACGACCAAACTGTTTACTCAGTGTGTTGGATAAATACCCTGATGTTTCTTCTCTTGTGTTCGGTGATTTGAATAGGAGAACGGGTAGACATCGAGATTACGTCAAAGATGACATTATCTGTTACATTGAAGGTGATGACACACCATTTGACATTCTATCGAAATATAATAACCCAATGTTTTCGTGCAACTTTATAGATAACTCTTTTGGTAAATCATGAGAGTGAGTGAGTGAGTGAGTTAATATTTTAAGTCACAGCGGCAATATTTCAGCCATATGGTGACTAAATCAAGTTATATATTAATACATAGAGACATTAAAATCTGTCGACAAAGGACAGTAAAAACACTAGACTATCACAGATGTAGATTTAAAACTAGCATATCATGATAAAATTCATAACAATTCAGAACAGTACACAATAAAAATGGGCTATAGATCACCAATAACCAAAGGTAGGTCACCATACTAGGTACCATGGGGACTTACGATACTTCTGCTACATACATGGTAACCCAGCAGGATTTACACCATCCCTCTGGCTACTGGTGATTGTCGGCAAGTTTAAGCCAAAACATTTAAAAACAACAAGAATTCTACGATTAAAAACATGGAAAATGAAAAATACTTTGAATGAAATGGGACTTACATACCTTCTCAGGGGGACAATTATTTTATGTTACTTCAACCCCCTTTGAAGGTACAGCCACTAACAATCTCAGTTATTACGTCATTCTACCAAATTAAAATCACATACTTTTTACAATACATATCAAAATTTATCAAGCAATTCTATTTCTTTTAAAAAACCAAGAATTAAATGAGAATTAATCTGATTAAAAAGATCCTTTAACGATGAAACTTTGAAATACTTATCCCTTGTGATGGAAAAATCAATACAGTCAAGCAGGACATGCTTGACCGTGATTCTCTCATCACAAGGGATACAGAACGGAGGATCTTCACCTTTTAACAAATATTCATGTGTGTATCGCGAGTGGCTAATACGACATCGCCGCAAAATGACCTCTTCGAATCTGGACTGACAACCCAAGTAGGTGTAACCAATAGTTGGTTTTATGGCATGTAATTTGTTATCAATTACTTGGGTGTCCCACTTCTTCTGCATTTGCTCTCTGATGTAACATCAAATTACAGGTTTATAATCACTGTATGGGAGAAGAAGTGGTGCCACAGATTCGTTGAGTGCTGCTTTAGCAGCAGCAGCAGCCAT